TGTTTCAAGGGCTGAGGCAATGCTCCTCAACGACCCACCCTCCCATTGTTAGGCCTGAAAGCCCCGTCTCTAGGTGTTTTATAGGTCCACCTTCAGACACCCGGTAATTTGCATTTCTTTCACGACCTCTTTCCTTATCTCTGCAGCTTCTACAGAAATCATTATAGCGGATTGCATTCTACTTATTATTCAAAGCTCATTTACATGCCAAACACTTAAAAAAGTTCGGCCAGCTCAGAAATTTGTATATATTTTACTTTTTTTTTTCAAATCCCTTAAAATCATAAAACAACAGTCTATACATATTTGAAAATAGACGCGGTCTTAATTTCCACAACAATATAGTATTCTTTATTATTTTCTTTAATTTTATTTCATATCCATCCTTTTTTTAATCGTAAGTAATAAATTGATGAATGAATTAATTAGATATTTTATATAACTCGTATTTAAAATAAGTAGTAACTGAAGTAGCGAAAAAATCATTAAAGTTATTTAATTTTGATATGAATTTTTCATATACATTTGGGAATAATTTAATCCTAAAATAGATTGGGCTTGGTTGATGCGCACTCTTAAAGATTTCTTACCTGAACTTAAGCACCTACGACCTGAATTTGAGACCCACATTTTCCAAAAGTATACCCTGTATTATTACAAAACTATTTGGATGTTGTGAGAACAACAAGACTCCGTGTTAAAAAAAAAACACAATTTAAGCAGATTATAATGGATGTTTGGAAGAGCCGCCAAATGAAATGTTATTCTAGCTGCAGGTGCTCTATACAAATATTATTTATATTATCAAAATATTGAGTAAATTAAAACGCATATACTTTCATTGAACGGAACATTCTTTTAACACAAAAAATTATCAGTTTTTCTATTTCAACCACAAGTTGTAGGTGGTCTTGAAAATGTTGCTCTCTCATATTGTGAAGTAAAAGTCTTATAAATTCTATATCAAGAGTTGTTCTATTATATACTTAAATAAAGAAGTACGTTGCATTCGATGAAAGACCTGGAGTATTTCCTCAGGAAACATCTTGTAAAGTTGAGTGCCAGTTTATACAAAAACCATCATCTGTGTAAAAGCTGCGAAATTGATTTAGCATTGAAATTGATGTTGAAAACAACAGAAATAGGTCCGAGCTACGAGTTAGTCTATAAATTGCAAAACTTACTTTACAAGCTGTTGAAACCTCTTTGCCAAAAGTGATAACCACTCACCCAAATCCAATTAATTCGATCGCCAATCAAATTAACAAACATGTTCACACGAGTGTCTGTGTATGTAAATATGTATGTATGTATGTATGCATGTATGTATATTCGCAGACATTGGGGTAATGATAATTGTTTTATTGTCTCATATTTCGAGCTACGGGCAAAACTCGAAAGCAGCAATAACAACAAAACCCAAGCGCCGCCACAACGAAAGAAAAAATGGGTCAACGTTTTGACGCATATTTAATTAACACTTTAATACCCTTCCCAGCGAGCTATTTTGTGTTTCTTATAAAGATTTGTAACACCCGTGAGAAAGGTGCATAACTGTAAATACATAAATAAATATAATATAAATATTGCTTAGCCTAAATCTCTATGCTTTCGAAGGCCTGACAAACAGCTCATTTGATTCTCTTAGGTCCTAGAAGCGACTATGAACTTTAAAATCGTAAAGTGGCTTTAAAATGCATATACATTTTATTTGTTTTTTGTCAGTTTAAATATAAATATTATCTGTATTAGTAAATGCTCTCACACATTCTTAAAAATTGTTAATTATTTAAATTTCTACAATGTTTTTAAATAGCAAGCAAAACTAGTTTATATATTTTTTAAAACTTTTCACACATCTTTTTTTTTGCATCTCAAGCAAGACTTGTTTTTCTTCAAGCATGCACGTAAATTTTATTTGTTATTTGTCAGTTTAAATATCAATATTATCTGTATTAGTAAATAGCAAGCAAAACTAGTTTATATATTTTTTAAAACTTTTCACAATTCTTTTTTTTTTTGCATCTCAAGCAAAACTTTTTTTTGTCAAACAAAACGTTCCGCTTTACGAGTATTTCGTTGGGAAATTGTATGTATTAGAGGTAAATTAACATTCATTATTTTACCTTTATCTGATTTTTTGGCCCGCAAGAAATGCTGCTAAGCAATTTATAGCCACAAGATGTTTTTTGTTTGTTTTATCTCTTATTAGGGTTTTTGTGTAAAGAGCATTCGCGTTTCGATAACACGACGACTGTCATCATCTTTTGTTTATGAACGACAACAAATTTTATAAATAAGAAGCTGGTAATTTGTATGACCTTAACGTGGGCAATTAATGCAATTATTGTTGCAATTGGCCAAGCGTTATTTATTGATAAATGTCAATAAAAAGAAATATATGCGTATATATTGAAAAAATATACACAACGGCCTAGATATTTGCAATCAATTACCGTTATGCTAAGTGGTCGATTGCACAGATACCGATAGACAGCCACACGATTCCCGATTGCCCGGAATGACCAATGTTGCTCCTTGTTGGAAGTCGTTCCATGGTCATGGCTACTCGCTGCGCTCCAACGACCACATATGCACATAAATCTTGATAAATTGCAAGGCCGTCGCTGCAGTCCCCCACCCGGTACCGGTTGAGCAACATCCCATGGTTTTCATATTTATTTTCCTTGGTCAAGGCACATTGCGGAAGTGGAAATTAATACCAAAGTCATGTAAGACTTTTGGCAACAACCACAAGCACACAAGACTTGTCACCAAATGGCCAACAAATGCAAGAGGCCAACAACAACAAATTGTTGCAGAAGTAATACATGAGCTGGCGGCCTCGTCGAAACAAAGATACCCTTCACAATTTATACTAGAAATGCTGTGATTTGTAAAGCTAAACAATTTGATTCTCTTTTGTCTCCAAAAATGTAAACTTTTTAGAATATTCTACACGTAAATCCTCTTAATCCCATCCAATTCTCACTTTGTTTTATTTTGTTCAAGAATCGAGTCCGCCTTTACTTTGTTTTGCCACAAACTCTGATTTAGAATAAAAAATGATTATCTTTCGAAAATTGCTAATATCCAACTGAATTGAAGACAGAGATTTCAAAATATACGAGTATATAGAATAACAGATTGAAACAAACTATATTATAAATATTTAGAGAAGAAACTAAATAACCAATTTTTTATTGAAGGCCCTTTTATAACATAATGCCCTGGTTCAGTTACTAAGTACACCTAATTCTGTTTTTATTTACGCGGTTTTGATTTAAAACGGTTTGAAAATTAAAAATAAAAAAAAAATAGAATTAGGTGTATTTCTAAATAGAGCCTCTGCAGAAACAAAGTGAAAAACCTATCATATGCCATTTGTCTGCCAACAAAGCCGATATTTTTTCAGATTATTGCAATCTCCTTCTGTTTCATTGGTTTTGTTTTGTTTTTAGTTTTGTTTTTGTTTATACTTGTACATGTTGTGCTCATTCCGCTGTGGACTGCAACCAGTTGTCAAGGCATGTGACTGGGCGCCACATGGACAAGGAACCAGTTTGAAGCTCAGCCGCCTGTTGCACTTAATATACCCTTTCCAAAAGTGTATTCAACATTTAGCCCAGAGTCTTTGGAACTGGGCCATGGAAACTTTTGTCATATGGGGTGAACTGAACTCAAAATTGAACATTTATAATTGTTGTAAATATTGATAATAGGCCATCCAATAGGTTTCATTTATTACCTGCCAGTCTGTTTATACAAATAATTTTAAGGTCCACAAACAACAAACATGAGTTACCTACAACTCTATATTTTTTTGAGTACGTAAATTTTGTTCGGCTTTTTCAAATTAGACATTGTTTTTCTTCTCTCCTCCAAAGCTTGATTTTCAGCTGATTACAACCCTATAGAGTTCTGCTTTTCAGTTTGGCTTTTTTCTTTCGAAAAGCAAAAACCAAAAGTCTACACTTGCTGAGAAAAAGTAGTTTCATTAATAATATTAATGCCTACAGCTTGTAAAATATTTTCAGTTGAATTATAATTGAAGATCAGCTTTGTTGAAAGATAAATTTAATGAATAGATGGATTTATTCTCGATTGAATTACTTAATATTGTTTCCATATCGGTTAATCTTAAAACAATATTATTCCAGTCCAAGAAATAGGTTATAGACTTTAGATCATGAATGTGATATATACCCCGATAGACATATATTAAATTGATGATCATTTAGCGAAACTAAATCGACTAAGCCGACACTATTGTATTTTCGCTTGCGATTAATTCATAATACAAAATTACATATATTATTGAATTCGACTTTGTTAAAATTCGCAATTGCTTTGTATAATAATTTTTTGGATATACTTGTAATCGAAAACATTTGCATTCATCTGACAATGGAATATATTTATTTCAAAAACAATTCAATTAAATTTAATTGAGAGGATTTCGATTTCGTCGTATTTTAAAGAAACTGGAAACTTCATCTTTAAATTTAATTACTTTTTGTACTTGTATTATTATGGAGCTGCATTTAAAACTAAAATTTCATTTAAAATATATTCAATGGTTGTTTGAAAAGTTCCTGAACTTCTTTTCTATTATATACTGATGTATGTATTTGGTTTCTTAATATCAGATATAGATTTAGATACTTTCATAAAACAATTTATGAAATTTCTTTCATGCTCTGAATGTGTAGAGCATGCAGTGGACGCATTAGACCGAGACCTAAAGTTGCAGCATCAGCTTACAATGATCACAATGACTACAACAGCAAAAACAACAACAACAGCAGCAATAAAAACAACAACATCTTTGTATAACAATCACAACATCTGCAGTACACTCTACAGTCGTGTAAATGTTACATAATGGCCACTTTTTATGGCACAATCACTGACTGAGCCATTTTAATGCCCTTCTCTTAATCGCACTCCTTCATGCTCTCTCTCTCTCTCTCTCTTGCTATCTTTCTCGTTGCTTGCAGTGGACGATGCTTCCGGTCACTATACATCCGGTTTCTTCTATGGCAATAATTACTGGATGGGTTCGTTGGCCCTTTGCGATGCCATTTATCATGTGGATGCGGAGGGAGGGGATGGCACCACTGCTCCCAACAAGGACAACAACACGTCGGGCCAACAAACGAACAACAGCAACAAGAACAGCGGTCTGCCATTCGCCGCTGCACACGCACAAACCTACAACAGCGTCTACAATGCACCGCCACCCTTCATGCCCGGCTTCTACGTAGTCAAGATGCAGCTCAACGAGACGCATCCAACGAGCGTGGTAAGCAAATAGTGAGCGTTCACTTCCGCCTCGTTGCCGATGTCGATGTCGATGACGATGTCGATTGCGAAGTCGATGTCGATGTCAACATGGCAGGCAGCCTGACGCTGTCAACGCCTTTCGTTTTTACCATCTATGTAAAGCATTATTCGTAGCATAGTTTGCTCGACCCATTAACAGTTAAATGTTAATGGGCAGACGCAACATTCCTAACTGGCTCCTCTCATCTTGCTCTCTCGGTTTTTTTCTTACACATTGCCTCTCCCACCCTGCTCCTTCACAGGTTCGCACCATTTATGTGGGAATTTGTCTCCCCGCCAGCTGCAGCATTCGCGACGTGCACTCTCTGAGCGCCTATGCGCGTCTCAAGCTGCCCACGAGAGAGCTGAAGGTGCTGGACATACGAGTGCCGACGGACAAGGAGTTCAACATATGGTCGGACAAGACCTTCTGGCTGCTTATGTAAGTCCAATGAAAACGAAAATGCTTAAACAACATGCAAATGTGTGTATGTAGTCGCACATACATACAAGTATGTACTCGTACATATTCATACATAATTAACAAATAAAAAATTCACTTTCAAATACATTTGCTAATATTGAAAGCAAACAACGCACCCTAATGTGTGTGTGCGTGTATTCGCATATACAGGGTGTCTAATAAAGACGACTCCTTAAAGTGTCATTCAAACTAGCGTTCAAGAATTGGTATCTGTTCCCCAAACTCATTTTGTAAGTTTTTTAATTTTTATTTTACGCACATTTTTTTGGGAAATTTTGAGTTTCTATATATATACCTCGCTTAAACATTTTTAATTTTAGTTTAATTATTTAAATGTAGATGTACAAAACATACATACAAGTATATGAAATTTCACCTTTTTTCATTATTAAATCACAGTTTCTGTTTTATTTGTGGTAAAGCTTACATTTGAGATAAAATGCTCCTCAAAAGTGGTGGAATAAATTATGTTTTAAATTTTTAAAACCAGTAAATTAAAAGGCCGCGACCCTTGACCAAAAGTTCCTATTATAAAAGATATTATAAAGAATAATATAAGTATGACTTAGACAGCTTCAAAACCTTCAACATCTTGTACAAATTTAAAAATATTTGATACGCACACCTATAATGTTTAAAATAGTAGTACTTTCTTTCAGAAAATGTAAGGAGACTTGGTTTATGGGAATTACTTAAAGAAAATTGTTACATACAAATGAAATTGGACTTAATTTTTATTTTAAACTGAGCTTGAAGAAGTTTTTCGAATAACATCTATTGATGTTGATGTTTGGAGGTTAATATTAAATTGAACCCTACTTTTATCGCAATAAGGACGACACTAAAAATTTTTGAATAGAATTATCTGCTGCAAACAAAAAGTTATCCAGCTGGTACAAAAAGAAGAAATTGGGAACATTATGTGTTGAAAACATACTATTTTATAACTGTCATGCTAACATAACATTATTGACAATAATACCATTCAAAAATTACTGATTCACCACAAATTATATAAAACGGTTAAATATTCCTTGATCTAAAATATTTGTTAAAAATTAAATACTATAACTCTTCTAATTTTTCCAATAATTTCCAAACTTCGACATATCTAACAAACGATAAACATCTTGAAATGAGAGCTTTCAGATAACATTTTCAAAAGAGAGTTTGGAGAGTATACGAGAATATTATTTATATATATTAGGCTGTGAAGCTGAACTCTCCCATAAATTGAGGTATAAATAATAAATCAATCCATAAGATTGTCCACAACTTATTGTATGTTTAAATGTTACATGAGGGACATATTTTCATAGCGTACAAAAAGTACCCCCCTGTATAATCACAAGCATGTAGTATAGTATGTCTGTAGGTGTGGGTGGGTGCTAATGCACATGTGTGCCCCAACATTTGCCTTTATGTATGTTTGTATGCATGTTTGTCCACAGTTTTGGACAGCTGGTTGGTACTTGCCATTAGCAAGGCCCGATGGTGTGTAGCCACGAAATCGTGTGAAGCTTCTGGCGCGCTCCAAAATCAAAACCAAGCGGCACTCCTCCATTATATGCCATACTAATTAGCACCTCTCTTTCTCTCTTCCTATTTCTATCTCTCTCTTTTTGTATACCTCTTGTTCGATTGCTTCACAATGCTTACAGAATTGTGTCATGCATTGTGCTGGCACTGATCTGCTGCGGCACCCTGTACGAGATCTATCTGACCCGTCGCCTGCAGGAGGCACTACGTGAACAGGACAAGGAGATGATGAACAATAGCGAGACCTCTTCGGGCATTGGCTGCGCCTCGTCCGACTATAGCGATACGATGACCGCCCACGACGATTCCACGCTGAAGCAATCCTCACAATCATCCTCTCTGAAGCAGTTGAATCAATTGAACCAGTTGGTCCTCAATTTGCCGCCACCCCTCACAGGTGTGGACAGTGCAGAGGAGCATCACCATCATCATCATCACCATGTCCACCATCATGTGCACAGCAACAATAACAATTCGGATGAGCATCTGGAGGGGCATTTGCACGAACCGGAGAAGTTGAGCATCTATGCGGAGCTATTGCTCTCCTTCTCGGCTATAACGAACTTCAATGCGATCTGTGACCGAAATGTGGGTGCAGATACGATACCCTGCATACACGGACTACGCGCCTTCAGCATGGCCTGGGTGATCCTGGGGCACACATGTATTGTGGTCTTTAAGTACTCGGACAACATGGAGATGCGAAAGGAGGTGGAGCAGAATTTCTTCTTTCAGGCCATCACCAATGGACCGTTCAGTGTGGACACGTTCTTCTTCATCAGCGGCTTCCTCATATCGTATTTGTACTTCCGCACCAATGCCAAGGGTAAACTCAATAAGCTGACCAAGGGCACCAACGAGTTTACGGCGGGCACAGCGCATTTCTTTGGTCTGGTCGCCTATCGTTTTATGCGTTTAACGGCCCCCTATCTCTTCGTCCTGGGCGTGGTGCAGGTGACAATGAAGTATTTGGCTGCATATTCCATATTCGACCCGCCCACCATGGACCACATCACATGCCCAGACTACTGGTGGCGCAACATACTCTACATAAATACGCTATTTCCCGTAGACGAGATGGTAAGTGCCATAATGTCCAATGTCCTGAATTTAGAGCTTCATTTAATTCGTAATCCATTGCAGTGCATGCTCTGGAGTTGGTATTTGGCCAATGATACACAATTCTATATGATCGGTGCGATAATATTGATTGTGGGTGTGCGCCACTTCAAACTATCGGCGATAACAACGGTCGTATTCCTGGTTCTCTCATGGATAACCACAGCGGTAATTGCGTTCACAAACAATCATCGACCGAACACAGACGACCCCCTGGCCCTCTTCGATAAGATCTACGACAAGCCCTGGACACGACTGGGGCCCTACCTCATTGGCATGGCCGTGGGCTGGATTCTATTCCGCACCAATTGCAAAATACGTTTGCCGAAGCTGACGGTCGCCACTGCCTGGACTCTGGCCATGCTCAATCTGTTTGTCCTGGTCTTCGGACTATATCGCGCCGATCTGTCACAGTTCACGGCAGCCGCCTATAGCTCTCTGAGCCATTCGGCCTGGGCGCTATCTCTGGCCTGGATCACGATCGCCTGCTCGACGGGCTATGGCGGTTATATTAATTCGCTGCTGTCGGCGCCCTTCCTCTATCCATTCTCGCGGGTGACCTACTGCGCCTATCTGGTGCATCCGATTGTCATTCGATCCATGGCACTAAATTCAGATGCCCCTCTACATTTGGGCGGCGATTTGATGGTGAGTTGGGAGATATATAATACATACATATGGTACACAGAATTTTATAACTCTCGACTTCCTTACAGGTCGTGATGTTCTTTGGCTTGACCGTCGCCTCATATTTCCTCTCATTTGTCGTCTCGATGTCCTTCGAGGCGCCCGTTGTAACAATGCTGAAAATCTTGTCACCTAGTCGAAAAAAGCGTCTCGCCTGAGCCAATACTAACTAACATCAGTGTTTATTTATGCGTTACTACATATATATATATATACCTAAACCATACATACATACATACATTCACACACGCCTTATTCATTCAGCTATCCTTTCTGTTACTTCATCGTACTTTCAAGAATGCAATGCCCACATATTTATAGCATCGTTCATAACTACTCGTACTCTTCACTTTCCATTTAACACCTCTTGCTCTATCTCTTCAGCTAACCGCTATCACCAGTTGTGTTTTACATTACATGAATTTCATCAATGTATTATGCAAATATTTTTTGTTTCGTAATGTGTACATTTTAGTCGTTTAATTTATTCCAAAGGTTTGGAAATTTTGTGTGACGAAAAGTAGTAATAATTATACATATGAAGATGTAGTACTTAATTTTACAAAATCCATTTTGTATATACAATATATGATTCCCAAATATGTATAGAGCATGTTTATCATTTATAAAAGAAAAATATGTGCTGTATATTGTAATGTCTAAACATTTTAATAAAAATGCTACCAAATAAACTACATTTCAATTGAGCGCCACATTTTACAGCACTGTACAGCACTGAGCTGGACAAAGCTACCACATCTGCAGAGCTACCAGATCACAATGTGAGACGTCAGCAAGTGCAGCGGTGTTGCCACACTAGGAATATTTTGTCCGCCCATCAAAGTCAGCCAAGCAGCAACCCATTTCATTTATCAACCAATACCGGCGATCTGCGTAATGTGTATAAAATACGCATTGGGCGCTTTCATTTGGTTTTTGTTTTAGTTTAGCATTCTGACGCCGCATTCATAAGGGAGCGTCTTCACAATCACCACAATCGAACACATTTCCCAGGCAACAGGATGTATTTTCCGTCGATCTCAACAATACTGGGCGTGGCGTTTCTCGCCTACATTGCACATTCCATCTATCAAATGTCGCAACTCTTTAACAAACTACAATGCACCGGTATGCCCTGCTACACCTCATTCCTGGCAGATAATCCAAAGATGCAGCTGGCACTGTTCACATCGCTGACACGCAACCCCATCGCCGCTGAGGTGCACGACGTGTATAAGACACAAAAATTTGACTACTCCAGTCCGTTCGAGCATGACTTTGAGGTGGATGTGCCGCTTAAGACTCGCCGAAATGGCTCCCTCTATATGCACGTCGTGGTTGCGCTCGAGGGTGAGCCGCTGGAATGGCGAACGTTGCGTCGTGATGGACCCACCGTACTGCACACACTCAGTCTGACGGACTATATGGTTCCAAGAGCCGAAGCCTTCAATTTGCTAGGCGATGCCGAGCAGCTTAAGTCGCCGGCTTCTGGCAAAAAAGAAGGCGCCCAAGTCCCAGCCGGCCGTCCCAGCACCCACATACGCTCGAAAGTCTTTGTAACGCTGCTCACCGATCTCTTCTCACTGTCACAAGCCGACGTCCCACCAGAACTCGCCCAGCACATACATGTGAACCGAAAGCAGCAAATACTGCCAATCCTCAAGACGGACACGTTCAACACCCGCCTAAAGGATCTGGTGCCAGTAACTCGCAATACCACCGAATTCACCTTTACCTTCCACTACAAGCCCGTCGGCGTGGGCAGACTGCGTCTGATGCTGCTAATGGAGCATGCAACGCAAGCGCTGCTGGCCATTGGATTTGCTATTAAGGACATTGACGAAGTCAAGGGCATATTCTCAGACACGAATATGTACCTGCTATGCGGCACTATCTTCGTATCCAGTGTGCATGTAAGTGGCATTGACCCCCTTGCTTACGACCCGACCATGATTATACTTTGCGTCTTTTCGCAGATGCTCTTCGATTTTCTATCCTTTAAGAACGACGTTGCATTCTGGCGCAAGAAACGCTCCTACGAGGGCCTCTCGACACGCACCACATTGTGGCGGGCGTTTTCGCAGTTTGTGATCTTTTTGTACCTGCTGGATGAGGACACTTCCTATCTGGTCATTGTGCCCGTCGGACTGGGCACGCTCATTGAGCTGTGGAAATGCAAGAAGATCCTACGCCTGGAGCTTAGCTTCAGCAGCTTCGTGCGTCGAAAACTTGAGCAGGCGGAGGCCAATGGTAATGCAGCCACGAAGCGTGGCCAGCTTGCTGAACGCCAGACAGAACAGTTCGACCGTCAGGGCATGAAATATCTCAGCTACCTCCTATATCCATTGTGTATTGGTGGCGCAATTTACTCACTCATCTATCAGCCGCATCGATCTTGGTACTCCTGGACACTGAACTCGCTTGTGAATGGCGTCTATGCCTTTGGCTTTCTTTTTATGCTGCCCCAACTATTTGTGAACTATAAGCTGAAGTCTGTGGCAGCACTTCCGTGGCGGGCCTTCATGTATAAAGCCTTCAATACATTCATCGATGACTTTTTTGCCTTTATCATCACAATGCCGACTGCCCATCGCGTGGCCTGTCTGCGCGATGACATTGTGTTCCTCATATATTTGTATCAACGCTGGCTTTATCCCGTGGACCAGAGTCGCGTCGACACCGGCGTTGCTATTGACGAGACAGAGCCAACGGATTTGGATCCAACGTCAAATCACCAGAAGCGTGACTAGGACTCCCCGCATATTCCGTCTATATCTTTAGAGCTGTAGCTTAGTGCGTAGCAAATCCATTTTTGATATTCGTCTTTGCATACCGTATATGTATGTATATAAGTATATGAACTGTCCATGTGTTCGCGTTTGTCCCAGCCCAAGGGGCTCAACGCACATAAACAACATTTTAGTAAAATTGTAGTTGAAAAATTGCAAAAGTTTCAATTATTGGGAGGGAGGGCCCAATTTCTGTTTAATTGTAGATTAAGCTCTCTCTCTCGCTCTCTCTAAAGGAATGGAGAGATAGCAATTATAGTGAAACCCTTATCATCAAATCTAAATTAAAGGTACCGCGGCCCCGCGATGTCTCATTGATATGTTGCTTCTAATCACTTAAAAACGTAACCACTACCATTTTAGAAAAGAAATGCAGTTTATAATACTAGAAAATACGGGTACTTATATTACAGCCCTCGCATTTTCACTTTTTATTTTCTTTTTGCCTCATCAAACATTCGATGCAGCCTAAGAGTGATTTGAGCCGCAAATTGTAAAGTGGAAGAAAAAAAAAATGAAAATGATATATCAGTAGCTTAAACTTAAATGTCAAAGGAAAAAGTTTGCCATGCCGATCCGATCTGATATGTCGGCGTGCTCAACCGCTGCGTATGCCAAGCGCTTGCTCGAGTTCAGCGCGCTTCTGGTTGACTTTAGTGAAGAAGTAGCGCGAGACAGCTTCGTGCGTCCATGGCTGGTAGTAGAACTCAGCACGTCGCTCCTCCTCAGGATTGCCAACGACATCGGTCATAAGCTGCATAGGGAAATAAAGATGAAATATTTATAATATCTATAACAGTTGAGACTGACTGACTCAATTAGTCAACGCACAGCCCAAAAAAGACAACAGCTAAAAAGCTGAAATTTTGACTCCAAAGAGGGGAAAACAAGCTCAAACTTTTGTTTCAACAATCCGAATTTCTTTTTTTTAATCAACTTTAAACTTAGTTTGTATACTCTCCACAAGAATACAAAATAAACTTCATACTTGGTTTTTTGATCATTTTAACATTTTTTCGATTTATCCGAACGGTTTCAAATTTGGAATACAATTGGGGACAAGTAAGGGTACACACACATAGTTTATAATAAAAATAAAACAAATGAATGTACGTTCATTCATACATAAGTGTTCATTAATAATAATTAATAATTGTATGATATGTGCCCTAGCTTTTGGTACCTAGCAAAGCAATTTGGTACTGGATAGTTTCTGGTATAATAAATTAATATAAAATTGTAAATATAAGGAGCGCGCTTACCTTGAGATCCCGCGTCTGGCTGATAATCCAGCGATGTATGAACATCTGTGGATCTTTGGCGAAGCTCAGGAAGAACTCGCGATTCGTCTTCATCTGGTTAATAGTGTCGACGGTCTCGTGTATCTTTGTATCCAATCCCTGTATCTCCTGCTGACTGGCTGTGCTCATGAGAAAGTTATTCATTTGATTCTTCAGCGTATCATCCACCTCGACATCAATGTCATAACAGGCGGTCTGCTTGTTCTCTGCACCGCTCTCAATAAAATGATTGATCACAATCGGATCTGGCGGATGGAGCAGCGGATTGAGACGCTGTGGTATTTCCGCAAACTTCATGCGTTGACAGCTGAAGATCTGCTCCAAATACTTGTCACAATTTATGTATTCCCGCTCGTGCGCATCCTGTAGTTTGTGCGTTTTGATGTACTGCCACAGGGCCGAGATGATAACGGGCCGTGTTTGCGTGTGCACGCCTAGCAGTCGCGCCAGACGCGGATCCAGCTTAAACTGCAGCGGCTGGTAGTCGAGCAGCAGCAGAATAGTGCAGCGTACGTTGCGATCACCCGGGCGTTTCACCTGGAAACCATCCGTTTCCTGTGTAGTGTGTGTGCGGTGCCATTCAACGAGATGGTTATCTGGTCCATACAGCTCTTTGTCCAGCTCAATGACCAGTGACTTGAAAAAGGATGAGAACTTGCGTTTAATCTTCGTATTTGGATCTCCTTTGCCGTCCTCGAGTAACCGGCCTTCGACGCGCAGCTCCCAGGAAGCGACGGCACCATCATCTCCATCATTGTTGGGCTCTTTGCTTGGGTAGAATGTGTTTGAAATGAAAATGCGTAGCTTGCGCTTTTGTTTCATAGGCCGCTTGAGGGCCTCCTGGATGTCGAGACGCTTGCGCATGATGGTAGCATCCAGCTTGCGCTCAAAGGTCAGCAGGTCCATGTAGGCTTGCGACTCTGGCACCAAATCGCGCACTTTTTGCGGCAGTATCTTATCCGCTAGCTTCTTTTTCTTCTTCGCTGTCACAAACTCGCCCTTGTTCTGCGCACTGCTGAGGTTGCGCGATTCTGCTGAACGCTTACTGCCGCCACCCGAGCCACTTCCGCGCAAGCCACTTTGAAAACTGGGCTGGGAGGCGCGCTGCAGTAGCGAGGGCCCGACTGGAGCAGCGGCGCTACCGGGCACAGGCTGGGTTGTATTAGGATGCAGTGGAAAGCCGCGAGGCTGCAACGCACACAAAAATCAATCAATCAATCGATGAACCATTGCCCCAAAATTTCATGCACTTACCGGAAAACTGGCGCCAGCCGCATAAGGACGCATGCCGGGCGCTTGAGGCGGCGGTTGGTAGCGCGACTGCACCGGCGCTTGGCCAGGCGCAAATCGTTGCGACATCTTTTGCAGATAATAAACCTTTATAAAACTGTAAAAGCAATCAAAAATACACTTTCTTATTACAACGATGCGTCACAAAAAAAATTCTCGTGTAAAATGGCGTCGTCTGGGGTTGTTCAGCACGCATTGTTGCCTTATCCATGCTATCGATACTTCTGCACAGTGCTGGGAACCACCACCACCAACAAGCTAACCAGCTGACTCATTATACTTCTTTTTCAAAAGAATGGCAACGTTGGCAACAAAATTGAATTGACAGCCTTGAAACGAAAGCAAGTACGTAAAATCATTTGTTTGGCTCTTGTTTGGTTTATTGGTGGTGCGCCGCACATATAAATAGTGAAATAATATAAATTGTTTAAGTGTGAAAAATGTCTGAGTCAATGGAGGAGGAATGGTGGGTGACAAAGCTGAAGGAATTGGAATCAAAGCCTAAGCGTTTGGAAACCCTCACTGAGATGAACAGTGTTATCAATAAGGCAGTAGGTCTACCGCGCAATATCCTCGAACGCGTGTTGTGCGCGCCAGCCCTGTATGAGTGTGCCACCGTCGAAAGTGGCAAGGAACCACTGATCAACATGACCAACGACTTCATTCATACATGCTTGGAGCAATTGGAGCTTGACACTTGCGATGAGCAATTACCGCTGTTGCTTAGCAGATCGCTCACCCACCCCAATCCCGCATTGCGCGCCATAGTTTTGGATGCTCTTCTCAAGAAATTGCGTCGTCAGACCACAGCCTGTGAAATGCAGCCCTTGCCCAGCAATGAGCTGCTTTACTATGTGCTGGATGAGCTCAAGCAGCCAGAAACTCATAGTGGAGTATCAGCATTAAGTATTCTGTCCATTGTGCTGACCCAGCGTCTCAACGACCCTGGCATACAGGCGCGGCTGATGACCCTGCTAAAGCAGAATGAGGTTATTCGCTGTCGAGCTTATGAACTGGGCGTTATGCTAGCCAAAAGAAGCGCGGCCGCGCTTTCATCCGTCGAATTTATACTAGACGCTGCCATCAGTGAATTGGACAATGATGATGTGCTGCTACAGGCCAGCGTTATGGAAATACTTGTGCCACTTGCTGAACAGAACCACGGCCTCTCTTACATGGAGCGTCGTCACGTCCTGGACGTGATCAGCAATCGCGTGCAGCAGATCGAGCAGAACCCACTTGATCTATTGCTCGTACCGAGCATAATGAAGTTCTTTGGAAAAATTGCTGCTGTGCAGCCGCAGAAGATTATAAGTGGTTACCCACAGATGCTCACATGTCTGTTCGAGCTGCTACAATCGGGCGACGAGTCTGTACTGCCCACAGCCCTCGACACGTTGACCAATCTGGCGAGCACCCTCCAAGGGAAAACACTTCTTCACACTGACTTCGAGCCGGCTATGCAACAACTGTTTGAAAAATATGCCGATTACACAAAGGTGCTCTCTCCACCGCTCAAGATACGGATACTTAACTCGCTGGACCTTGTCTTTGCCGTCGAACTGCCATTAACTGGCTTGCACAAGTAAGTTGGCCAAATTGTCTGCCTTATATATATATATATATGGAATACATTGCCTCTCTTTCTTCCTCCCTCTCACCTACGCAACGCAATGCAGCGGTATATTGAAACGCTGGTACGAGTACTTTGCAGGCGGTCAGCAAGTCGATCGTCTAATGGATCTGTGTCGCACACCATTCCCAGATTTACAATTAGCTGCACTTAGCCTACTGAAGACACTGTGCCAGTATATTTGGGGCATTGTGGCGCTTCGTCGGACAGCAGGTGCGATTGAATTTCTGTTGTCGCGCCAACGCGACCAGCACAAGGACGTGAAGTTCCTGAAATGGCAAATTATGGAGGTGCTGGCAGTCAGTGATGGCTTCTCGGCAACCGAAATTGTACGCTTCACTGCCTACGTCAACGAGGGCCCCTACTACATGCAGAGTGACGTTAGTTTAGCCACCGAACCACAAGGCAATCAGTAGCGCTACGACCACCTGGCAAAGTTGCAGATGAGGCCACCATCACCGTAACCAAAGCCAAGTCACCTATATCCTTCACTCACATCGAAGCACAGACTTACCTACACTTTACAATGAATACAAAAGGCAGGCAGGCAATATCATATCAAGCTTGTGGGTGTTTCAGCGTTTAAATCTGCGATCTATACATACATTTGGTTTTGGATTATACACACGGTTGTAACTAAAATGTTGACCTCTACCGCTCTCTCTCTGGCACTGGCTGCATACGAGCGAGAAAAATTCGAAAAAAAAAAATATCTAGCGATAAACGCTGCAGAACATATGTATGTATAATGTAGCAACACATTATGATTGGGTTTATATTGTATTTAAGGTTTAACAAAATATTGGGTGGGCGAATATACAAACATATACAAAAACGTACATATATAATACATGTATTTAACAGATAATGATTATACTCGGTAAATAAATATACATAAGTTGTTGCAGTTATAAACTGGCAATTAAGACGTTCTGCTGTAGTCCTCAGAGCTCGGGAAAAATGAGCACATTACTTTTAAATTTAAATAACATACATATGTATGTACATAAATACGTGTACATACGGAAACCTAAAATTAAAAAAGTACATAATTGAACTATATGTGTGAGTGTGTATGTATACGTTTTAAAATCACATGGAAGCCTATGCCAAAGCCCACATACTACTTAGTCCATAACAGCGCTCAGTCTAGTCCCCATTCACAGGTAACTCATGTGGCGATGCGACAACTGTTTCCGTCCGGAGCCGCCACCTCCAAAATGCGCCAAACTCACACTCAGACCGGACTCGTACGCGGTCTGTGTCTGGGATCGCGTTTCGTTGTTGACCAGAGAGCAGCTGGGCAGAGTGTGGCAGTATCGGCGCAGCTGCTGTTTGAATGCCGCTGTTGTGAGCGTGTAGAGCACCGGATTCAGCGCTGAGTTAACGGGCAGTACCAGCACGGCCAGCCAGGCATACAAATCGGGCGATATGACACAACCTGCAGTATAACTTACACATTATGTTGCATATATGTAATCGAAACTCTAAAGAAACCCACCTGACAAGGCAGCTAACTTGACCACAATGATGGGCAGCCAGCAGGCGCAATCAGTGGTCACAATGATGACAAACCTACAAAGGGAAGCGAACAGAAGCGTGTTACTCTGTCTGGACAGCAGGCCTATAAACTTACCGAGTGGCTACTACATTCTCGCGTCCGCTGTGAGTGCTTCGCATGCCTCCGCCGGAGTCGCGTATGGCCTGCAACATCCGCACATACGAGTAGAGTATAAAGATCAACGAGAAGGTGTTGATACAAATAAACAGCAGTGCCGAGTACTCCCAGCCCTGCAACAGATATGTATGTAGTTTAAAAAGTTAGACAAAAACCATGCCCACGGCTACTCACCATTGCGTAGGGATCGTGTATGTGCAAGGACAGACAGACGCCATTGTTTCCATAGAAATGTGCACCAAAGTAGGAGTTCGGTAGCAGAGGCGCCGCCGCCAATGTGAAACTGATGCCCCATAGCAGCAACAAGCGCAGCACAATCCTGCAGACGAGAAAGCAAAGAGGTTAGTCGCTGTTCCACACTATATCTATCTATATCCACAAATCAGTCTGTGATGCGACAAATGCCACCTCTAGAAATCTAGAGGTTTTTCCCTGTTGCATGTTTTTTAATAAAAGCATTTAGTACATTTTCTGTTTCACTTCTCGTGCTATAATATTATTTTATTTTTGCCAAAGTTTTTCCTTGCTTTTATTTAAAAGTGATTAATTTTGCATTAAATTTTAAAATAAATCTTTTCAAATACAAACACTTTACTTTTCAACCATGAATTTTTTGAGAGCATTTCAGCTTCTTCACTCTTTTTTTATTTGAATACAAGTATATAAAATACTGTGTATATTTTTGACACATGTAATATAATAAATAATAAACGAGTAAGTAATACTGCAATTTCTTTTTAAATACATAAACTATGGATGTATTTTTTGAGAGCATTTCAACTACTGCTAATAGTCACTCTTTCTTTATTTTTTTATAAATACTATATTTTTGACACATTAACTTTTTGAGAACTTTGGAGTTATTGATAATAATTCATGAGCTGCAATAGGCGTGAAATAAATGTTTCTTCTTTTAAAACAAAACTGTTTTTAATTAAAGTCTTTTAAATTTTTCTTAAGATAAGTTTTTTACCATTTTTAAGAGCAACTGAACTATCGGTTATAATCCAACTTGAACCACATATTTATTTTTTATTTACATTCTTATTTAATTGTTTACAAACATGAAGGTCTTATGCATTGAAAAAAGTAAGCAAATAGCAGGAATGTTCGATTTCTAGCTTAAGACGGATTTTCAAATTCCGTCTGTGAATCTATTTGTTTCTATAAAATACATTTTTTAAGTCCCTAAAGTAAATTATTTTACTACAATTTCTAGAGTGGGTCTTTATGTATTTCAATTTAAATTTAAATTATGTTGGACCCTAAGCTATGAACAGAATACATTATTAAAATATTCCAACCCATTTTAAAAACAAAAGCAAAAGTTGGGTAGCCCCGTATTTAGGCACTTCCCAAAAAAAACAGAAATATCATGCATGGCTCTCCTTTGTTTATGTTTTAAATTGAATTTGTCCTATTTTCCTAAAGCCCAATCGGTAAAGATAGTATTATATTTACGAGTATATCACCCACCTGAACTTCTCAGTGTCGCGTGGCTGTAGTGGCCGTGTCACCGACATCAATCGATCCCAGGTGACCAATGTGAGCAGCAGTGTGGACGATTGGCAGCTGAAGGTGCTCAGGAAGCCTAAAACAAAATAAAGGGCTTTCGAATTTATATAACACTAATTAAAGTTTCATATCGCATACGCACCTGCAAAGGCGCAGAGGCTGCTGTGGCGCCACGCCTCCTCGTGTACAATGTACTTGCCGCGAAAGCTGATGTCCGCACAGGCAATAAGTGTCAGATAGATGCCCATGAGAAAGTCACTGGCGGCCAGATGGCGCAGATAGAGTGAGTGCTCCACATTGCGGCGCGACTTGTAAAAATATCGGCCGAGCAGCACCAGCATATTACCCACGACGGCTATAGAGGCCATGACCCAAACACTGCCAACGATATGATATGAAGATGTGGTGTGGGGAGAAGATTAAGTCATGTTTGGGCAATTACCAATGCGCATTGAATATCAATGGGATCCTAAATATGGTCAATTAAAGCAAATCAAAGCCTCGTTGTGGCCCTCAATGGGCATAACCCCAAACCGGGGCCAATTCACCGTGCATTGCCATCCAATTAGGTACAAACAAAAGCATCTCCTGTCCAATGCTGCGTGGTTCGTGGCTCGTACGTTCGAGGCCTTTTGTGTGCGCTATTGTCAGGTATATGAGTGCTTATTATGGCCGTTGTTGCTGTAATTGTTGCTGCTATGGGCCGACAAACACACACAATTACCTACAACTACGTACATAAACTACAGAAGCTACTACAACGACAACTAAGGACTCTTTACTCTATATAACGAAATCTTTCTGCTTTAAGTGTAAATGTGTACTTAAAAATACAGTATAATTTGCTTTTAAAGGATCTATCCTCAAAAGAGCTAACATAACTTTGTTGTTTAACTAAAATTTGTAGCTCTAGCAGTTTGTATATAATATTTCAACTTGTATTATGTCTGTTGGTCACACACATTATAAGTACTATGTGCACATTTTTTAACATATTATTGTTATTGCTATTTTACCAATTTAAATTTAAATTATTAATTAATTTAAATGAGTGAATAATGCCTTGGGGTAGAGGTTGCATTAAAGTAGTTTTATTTGGTGGAAAATTTAATATTTTTACAGTCTTCTACAAACTCGAACTCACGATCAAAACTATAAACGGTTGTAAAAAAAAATATGTACACATTGCTACCTAATTTGAAAAAAATATTTCATAGATGGCGCAGCTAAATTTTTAATATTCATAGAAAGTGACAAAAAATGACCGCCGATATGAGGCGCTTGAGTCCAAAAGACATGTTAACAATGAGATAATAAATAAAAACTGCAAAGCATATAAAGGTTCATTTATTATCCATTATCCAAACTTAAAATGGATCTTCAACAGTACTTTATCTTTAGAATCGATTAGGGAAACGATTTATATAAAGGCCAGCATAGAAGAAGTAAAAAGTGCTTGAAAAATACACAAATATTTCGTAAACATAAAGATGACGATTAGAAGCAACCGCTTCTAATTTAATGCATACTCTTTGCTACCTCGTGAAATAAATAGGGTAATAAATCAACATGCTTTTTATTTATTTTGCATAAAATTTGAAAGCTTCTTAGCATGCACCTCAAGCTTTAACTCAATGTATGTACCAGTATATGTTTTGTGTCTAGTTGGTGCTTCATTATCGTTTAAATTTGATGCCAACAAATTTTAACGAAAATATATATGAAAACCTGTCGCCAATAAAAATACATACAATGCCACCTGATTCTGTACAAAGTGCTTTCTTCGAACTACACTGTAGCCAGCCAGCCTTCCCATTAGATAACCAACAACTTAACTCAGAAGCCAAACAATGGCAACAGAGGAGAGCAGAACAGAGTAGAGTAGAGCAGAGTAGAGCCAGAAATGTCCCAACCAAGTGGAGCATTTAATTTTTATGGGAACGTCAACTTAAAATAATGAAATAATGTACACAGAACATTTTTGCCTTTGAACAAGCGGGCAAACAAACATAAGTACATACTTACTAGGTAGGAAGCTACATACTTATATGGATACGTGTACGTGCAAGCACAGAGGCATGTCAGTGTGTGTGTGTGTGTGTGTGTGTGTGTTTATAGAGCTTATATGGCGTAAGGAAAACTTGCAGCCCAACTAAGGACCTGCCTGCTACACTCCTTCACGTTGCTTGGATCTTCCTTGTTGGATACTGAATGGTGTTTGGTGTCTGGCTGTTGGCTGTTGGGTGTTGGTTGTTCGCTGCTGCCGCTTTTGTTCTAAGCACCTCACAGCGTGAAAACAAATAAACAAACAAACAAACAAGCAAGCAAACGAACGAACGAACGGAGGAACGATAGAGCAGCGAAGCAATGGAACGGCAACGTGTATGAAGAGTTCGGAAAAGTATAATTTTCATTTCCATGGTGATGCTGCTGGTGCTGGTGCAGTAGAAACGGAAGCACGAAACTTGGCATGCATGGCAACTGGCGTCGGAGTGGCAGGCAGCCAGATAATCACTCAGCAGACATTTCAATGCGCCGGAATGATGACAAGTTGCCGCCGGTTGCTGGTTGCTCGCTGCTGTTTGCCTCTTGCGCACAGTTTATTTGGCTTGCCAAGAAAAGAAAATATCGAATAAAGGGGTAAATGAAATTTACCACCATACGCGTACCAGCTACCCGTACGTGGTTGGCACTCTGTGGCAACAAGAAGCATTGCATGCAGCTGACGCCTAAATTGGTCCAAGCATCCAGCTTAATAGAGGGTGTCGACTAATCTTGTGAGATCGTAAAGAGTATTTAATTAAGCAGAACTGTTGTGGTCGACAGTTAAACAATTTGTATTCACTTTCAATACATTTATGGCGCCTAGGCTGGGGCCCTTAATATGCAAAATGAAAGTGAAATGGACTTCAGCAATAAAAAGCTGGCTAAGTTGGGGCAGAAACGAAAGCGGCTTATAAACCTTTAGATAGCTGAAAAGCCATAAAGAACTATTTATTGTATATTCATGAACTAATTTGCTGAGATCGTAAAGAGTATTTAATGAAGCAGAAGTGCTGTGGTCGACAGTTAAACAATTTGTATTCACTTCCAATACATTTATGGCGCCTAAGCTAGGGCGCTTAATATGCAAAATCAGCCATGAAAGCTGGCTAAGTTGGGGCAGAAACGAAAGCGGTTTATAATTCTTGAGACAGCTGTAAAGCTATATAGAATTGTTTATCTTTATTTATTGACTAATCTGCTGAGATCGTTAAGAGTATTTAATTAGAAGTATTGGTCGGCACTTAAACCATTTGTATTCACTTTCAATACATCTATGGCGCCTAAGCTAAGGTTTTTAATATATATATAATAGCGCTTCAGCCATAAAAAGCAGAGAAGCTGAAAAGCTGCCTATATCGGCACATTAAAAATCTCTAGACAGCTGCAAAGCTATATAGAATTAATTATTGTATTTCCAATTAATTTTGGGCGCCTAAGGTGGGGCATGTAATACGCAGTCTTGGTCTTAAAACAAGAAACTCTAGATGAAAGTTCTATAAAGAATGGAATACAATGGAATACTTGTTGATATTCAAAGAGGCATGCTCTGGAATAGGTGTTATACTATATTTTGATAAAAGTTAACACAGTAGCATATAGACTTTAGCGTCAGCAGCCTTCCCAAGTGTATTCAATCACAAACTCAAATAGAAACCAGAAAATAGTCTAAATTCTAAATTTAACTATCTCTGGTACAATCCATCAAGATGCTAATAGTCGGTATGTCTGTGTCGAACTCAGAGCAAGAGCAAGTTGTCGAATCTATGGCGACTGAGCAGCGCCATCGAGGCGGCGGCGCCCCCTCTGTGGATGCAAACATACGACGTAGTAGTCTATGGTCAGAGCCCAATGTGGTGAACACTACGTCCGTGGGAGGACCGGATCATCAGCTCCAGGTGCGCATGTTGGTGCTACGTGAGCGTTTGCGACGCATCATGTACTCCTAAGCAGCAACAAGATGGAGGTGTGTGGCGAAAACGAAGCAGCGGACGTAGCAGAGATCAAATAAATCAATAGTGAATGTGAAGTACACAGCAATATATTTATATAAACATATAAATATATTCATATATATACATATACTAATATCTATTAAAGGCTTGAGAGCTGAATGCGCTCCTGGTTCATTTATTCCAATCCATACACTACACACACACACACACACACATACACTTGAATAGAAGTGGCAGATAATTAATTGTAGTACATATTTATTGAACGTTGTATATCGTTTAAACTAATTGCCTGTTCCAGCTCAAGTATAAGCTATCTACTACTATCTACTAATGCGAGAATTTGCACAACTGTAGCTTAAACAATGAGTGTGGGCTGTTTCAAGAATCCTTTGTTTGCATTTATTTTACGCTGTAATAGGCTTTTGCTGGGATACGATGGAATGGCGAAAATACTATATAAGATGAAAAAAGCGCACGCAGCACCTTGAACTTACCTGCCCCGCAGTATTTGATTATCCAGTAAATGGTAAGTGCTGCTAATGCCATCTCCATGGGGCTCACAGACACGCACATGCATCGCGGCTCGGCACAAATGGAACCAGGAGAAATAGCTGTGAACGAAAAATAAACACAATCACATATAGACACACACACACACACTCACACACAAATCGGCTGACAAACTCACATATAATGCAGGCTACTCAGATTCTGCAGCACTCGGGAGTCGAGCGTCTTAAAGCGATTGCCAGTTAACTGCAACGAACTGAGGCTCTCTAAGCAGTCGAAGGCATGCAAATCGAATTTCATGATTCGGTTCTCGTTCAATTGCCTGTGGAGCGGAATTAAGGTGTTTGTTTAGCGGTACATTTTGGCGTGTCTGTGGCATGTCTGCAAGTGTTCTGTTTATGGGCCAACCATAAAAGTCAAGCACGCGGCGCTGCTAAGTATGCTATATTTATTTTTCCATCTTCGTCGGCAATCGTACTTATTGCATGGCGTCGTTCGACTTTTGCCGTGCGGCATGTTTAGAAAACTTTCATCATTAAAGTTTTCATTTCGTTTTAGCTTATTTATGCAAACGCACGCATGGCCCCCCCGCCGACCACTGACCACTGACAGCCAACCACCAACCACAGGCCCCTGCTGCTCACTGGCTCGTTGTTTAGTTTACACATTGTATCTGCAAGTGTGCCAGCTAGGGAAGTTGCATGCTGCGCATTCCGATTTACTAAATCGTGCTCACTTAAGTTTGTAATTCGCTAGATATAGCTAGATATAGCTAGATATAACTTCTTTTTTTTTTGCCACCTGCGGGAGAATCGGGGACCACCATGGCTCTGAGTGGGGGCAGCCTAGCTGGACTGACTTTTAAGTAAATATTTCCCCCATTGGGTCGGAGACTATTAAATTTTTTCTGTAGCTCCCTAATTGTTTGCTTACATTTGCATTAAATAATTTTTAATTTCTTCTTTTTATTTTGTCTAAAATATTATTGGAGTTTCTGCTTTTTTCTCTAGCATTTAATTTTCCTAATTTTCCAAAACTATGAAACATTTTGCTTTTTATCCACATTTAAAATATAAAATATCAGTTTAATTAAATCAAGACTCAGCATTCAAAAATACTTAGCCTATTTAAATAGTTACTAGACTTTTTTGAATTCATGATCAATTCTATATTTTTTCAAGGCTCCCCTGTCTATAAAAAATAGAAAATTGTACGAGATCATTTCTAAAATCCCACCTTATTCCATTTGAGCATTAAATAGTTTTGCAACTGAAATATTTTGTGTGCTTGGCGCTGGTGCTGATTGTCGCCTAAACTGCCAATCAACCTGTCCAATTGATACAAAACCAACAGTTTTGATATCTAACTGTGGACACACACACACAGAGACACACACAGTCACAGACGAACACATAGAGACACACATGGAGATTGGCCAATCCGCCGAAATTCCATTAATAATAAATTAAATTCCTTGTCAACACATTGAAATTTAACCACCAATAAATCGTTTGAACGCCCATGGCGTGCTGCCTCGCCGCAAAATCCTCGCACACACACACACACCCATGGACAAGAGCATGTCAAGTTAAGCCACGCCAAATTGAAAAAGCACCCAAAACCAAATATATTTGTATGTATGTGTGTCAAACGTGGAACGTAGGTCATTAGATATGCACCCGCCTTATCCAAAATGTGTCTGCGATCCCAAAACTGGGCAGCAGTTTTTTGGATTTGGTTTTTGATTTTGTCTCTCTTTTTATGTTCAACTTACAGTCCTTGTAGATAGCTGAGATTGCAAAATGTGCCGTCGCGTATGTAAGCCAACTGATTGCCGGCCAAAAATCTGCAATGGCCAAAAGACAGAAAACATAAACTTTACTGCATATTCGCACTTACAAAAACAACAACACGCAACTTTTATTGTGGCAAGGGAATGGCAGCTAATAATCCATATGACCACACGCATACACTCGGAAAACTAAAGCGTCATCAAATCGGTTCACAAATATTTGATTGACGAAAATGTTGCTTTAACAACTAACTAAGAAAAATAAATAATGAATAGCGTTTAAGAATTAAGCGATAAGGTATTTTATCTAATTTTTTTTTTTTTCAAATAAATAAAAACAATTTTGAACGCTTAAGTTTGCTGAAATCGGACTATATATATGCACTGCTTGCACTGCACTGCTTGCGCTGGCACTCGCACTGCTTGACATAGGCTGTTGTGAGCAGCTAGAATTATACACTATATAATAATATAGCTAGAATTATATATATAATCGAGCTGAATATGATTCCTCTTCAAGGTCGACCTTTTCAAACGAATTTAACAAGTTTTTGTTTTTCAAATGCTAGTTATTTAAACCCAAATTCGTTAAGAAACTTCAAAAATGTAACAGCTTAGAACGAATGCCTAAAGTTCCTTTTTCGAAACATTTATTACTAATTGCTTTTATATTAACTCAGAAGTAGGGCGTTTTCAACAACGTGTGCTTTAAGTAGTGCAGTAAATTTATTCATTTTGTTATTAACGATTGCTTATACAAACTATATATTAAATGCTCATGCGATGACTAAATAAATTTGTTCATATTTTAAGAAATAAATTAAAGTCTAACTGCTGGCTCATCCTAAACTAAATCATTTTTTAATCAAATCGTGCCACGCACTAGCAAGTAGCAACAATTAAATATTTATTATTTATGGCAACTTTTTAAATAAACCACACTCTTTTCCATTTGCAAACTTTAAACTATAACTTGCTTGTTGTTTTTCTCCGAGTGTATTTCTGTGCACCCGCGCAAAATGTTGTTTCAACTTCAATTTAAAAACTCACAAATGTCGGAGACGCGGAAATGTGAACGTATTGCTGGCAATGTCAGCTATTTGGTTGTGGGCCAACGACAATGTGTGCAAATGCGTTAGGGTGTTGGGAAACATGCCCGGATGCAGACGCTGCAGGCGGTTCTCGTTCAGGTAGCTGCTCGAAACGAAATAAAAAAAAGTAGATGAAGATAAACATATATACATGCCATACATAAATAGCTGCCTCTGGCGCCAATCTGAGACTTACAGCACTTCCAGGTTGTGCAGCATATCGAAGACGTGCGCTTCGAAGTGAGCGATTCGGTTTCCTCGCAGATCGCTACAGATACAATCGAGTATATATGTTTAGATATGCAAATAGAGTTATATGTTTGTCAAACTTACAGCTCCTCCAGATTCCGTAAATATTGAAAATCGCTGCTGTTTAAGGTATGCAAACGATTGCGTGCCAAAAGTCTGCAAAATGGAGACAATAAAAAAGACAACAGAGTGAGCAATAATAGAGCTTATAATGTCCTTATAATGGGACAGAGACAAAAGTCCTGCCAAAGCACATTAACTTTCAATTTTCATATGAACAAAAGCTTAAGCAGCCCTCCAATGAACCGCAACAGGGCAAGTGCAATTGCTATTGCAATTGCCTCCAACAATGGCGACAGTGCTGGCGGAAGGGCACAGGAAAAGCCAGCACACATATCTCACTCTTAATTAGCCATTAAGCGCCAACTCAACACTCTGCACTGCACAAATGCAAACAATGGCAAAAGTCATTCCCACATTCAGAGAAAAAGTGCTTTGAAGTCCAAACATTTGCACTCTGACTTTAGCTTAAAGGGTGCTTCGCTGAGAAATGAGAGGCAGACAATTGATTTACAAAAAAATTAACATTCGTTATTGCAAAATAAATTAAATAGCAACTCTAAAAATATTAAAATAACAACCAAATAATGTTTACAGCCTCTCATGTAATGCTAACAAAATTATGTTCATGTTAACAAAAAAAATCAAAACAGTTTTATTTGTTATAAATCAAATAATACATTTAAGTTTTATAAAAAAAACTATTATGTTCTAAAAAAAATAAAATCAAAACCGTTTTATGTGTTATAAGGAAAATAACACATTTTGTAAGTTTTATAAAAATAACTATTATGTTCTAAAAAAAATAAAATCAAAACCGTTTTATGTGTTATAAAGAAAATAACACATTTTTTAAGTTTTATAAATTGCTCTTTAAATAATGCTGCCACTTAAAAAAAATGTAATGTTAACAGACCATAGTTTCATACAAAATTTTTAGTTGAAGTCTTATTCTTAAAAAAAAAGATTTTTAAGATTAGTCCTTTGATAATAAAGATAACTTGTAAACAATGTTATATCTGCAAAAACTTATGAAAGCCAACGGGGAAGGGCCGAATAAAAGGACTCGAATCAGAACATTGTCAAAAATATTAGCCAGTTAGTAACAACAATAAAAAAGCACCCTATTTGTCTATTTAATCTTTTTACTCTGTGTAGGCGGCGCCGCTAGAGACGAGCAAGGACCGTATTTTCTTCAGCCCGACAGGACATGTACTGCCCAGCACGGTCCATCACGAAATTTACATGTACTATTTATATATTGTCTATGAAAGTAATGCTTTTTAAGTCGAATCTTTTTTAGAAAGTGGCATATTTATTTATGGAATGATGACTTAGTATTAGTACTAAATGTGATTTATACATATATATTATCTGAAATCCGAGTCGATGGCCAAGGGAGCTAGCACTCCTGATTTGTAATTACTTCTTATATTATAATTTAACTAATTTAAATTTTAAAAAAAATAATAATAAAAAAAAATGTGATTTAATTTCAGACTGGTCTCTTATACCTACATACAAGTATACGGAAATATATATTTGAGCGTTTGATTTGGAGTCGGAATTATTGAAAAGGTGCATGTTTTATGGGAAGAATACTTGCAATGCCATATGGAATTGTATGTCCCAGTCCGCATCTAATGGCACATTTTCTGTTTATCGTATTATTGTATCTATTAGCTATCTATCTATATAAATGTATCGCCCTGAATTCTCCCCAGATATCTTTTAAAGCGTGTCATCTACTTGTTGCTTTCACGAGGTTGCTTATTTTGGGGAAATTGTTCAGGGTGGTATGCAGTATATGAAGTATATGCGTATATAGAGCATATAGAGTATGCCCTTAAAACTTGCACAAATCTCCATTTGGCGGAAAATAATAGTAATTATTTCTTCACTTTTCTAAAAGAATCAAATATTTATCATATAAAACTAGTTCATATTATTATGATAACGAATATTAATTATGATAACGAATACAACCTGTTACTTCATTGTTATTATATTGTTTTAATATACTGTAAATACTTTATTAGGTAATTTTTAGCAATCATTATATAGTTCGTATGTCGATTTCCAATCGCATTGGAACACTTAATAAATGAATAAATAAATAAATTATGTCATACACACTTTTTCACCAACATATCAATTTAGTCACATCTAGCATCGACCGAAAGTATTTTATAAAATAAGAATAATCGCAGTATATTGAAAATATTTTAACAATACTTGTACTTATAATTCGCAGTTCTCTTTCGTGTTTTGTCACGTTTCTTTGTCACGAACACGCGTGTACACCTTTGAAATAAACACGGCCCATGCCCACCTCTAATAGCCACTAGCCCTTAGCCACTAAGATAAACTTTTAGCGAGGCTGTGAGCTCCACAGCTGTGCCACTGCCGGTTCGGTGCCACAGTTTAGTCGAAAAGTGTAACTGAGTTGTTTATGTGTTTTTGATTTTTGCTTTCTTTGCCCATTGCTCTGTGTCAAGCCGTCTGTTGTTTTCTGAATTGTGTTGTTGTCTTCGGTCAGCACAAAAAGTATTAACAAAAAAAAAAAAGATATATTCAGCTATCGGCTTGCCGAAACTAAAGTACTCTGCATAAGCACTCCAGTTCCAAAAAAAAAGTTGGGGAATTTGTTAAGCATTATTATTTTTCCAAAGAACACACTCTTTATAAGCTTACTCATTAATAAGAATTAATTAATATATAAAAATAAAGTTGAAGACCTCGCCATGCACATGTTTCTATCACATAAAAAGAAGACTATTGGAGCACGTCCCCCTTTCGGGTTAGGGTATGCTCGTGGAAGCAACAAAGGCCAATGCTTGACTTCTGATCCGTACAGCCATAAACATGGTGTGCCGGTCAAAAGTTTTGCTTTCGCTTGCATTGCCTAAACAATGACAATATTTTCCACATATTTCTTCTTTTTTTTAGATTTTTTCGTTTTTTTTTTTGAGTGTTTTGTTTGGTTTTGTTTGCCCGCCCTTTATTTAGCATAGCACCCTAATGACGGTCACGGTGCGTATGAGTAACAAAAGCTGTGCGATGCTGTTATCAAGTATACTGCAGCCTATGCGTGTGCCTGAGCGTGTGCGTCTGGGCCTGCCCGAGTGGAGCGGGCCATTGGAACTGGGAGGGGTGGGGGGTCAGCATAACAAAAGCTATTTTCATGCGATAAAATCGGTACAATGTATCACATTTTGCAGCCCTAACAAATGGCAGGCGGGTGCACAATTTTTGTAGGCAATCAACATTTTTGTATGGCACCATATATAATCGTATTTGTGGCATGCGATTACATACATACTCGTCTGCACATGCACTTGACGAGTTTTGTAAATACACAGATATTAACGAAACTTTTTCCAATTATAAATTATTTCTATCTGCCACCTGAGGCGAATGTCGAGAGCAAAATTCAGTATGACAAGCAATTTTCGTGTCCAGCTGGCTAATATCCAAACTATGATTTAGTACTAAGTACTAACGATATTGCTTTAAAGATAACTCTAAATGGCTTTTTAACTAGCTATCCTAATACTGTACGTTTTTATTACCGTCTAATAGATTGGTAACTAGCTCTTAGTTCTCAATAGCAGACATGTGCGTAGCCAGGATTTGTTGGCCGATTTCTTACTATCTAATTATTTGCACTACTATATACAACAAACACATGAATAATATGGAAAAATAGGGAAAAATGAAATTCAAAATAATGAAAATGTGTTCATCCAAAGATTTCAAATGCAATAAAATGTAAAAAAATTTGCTAAAAAGTAAGAAGATTTGTGGTCGTGGAACTAATATAAACTTGGTCCCGTGCGACATCGAGTTGAATAGAATTTTTTTGCAAGCTAACATGGGATGGGACCTGTATCTGGGGTCGGGGCAGTTATCAAAAGGCAGTTATGGCAGATAAAGAAAGCTAAAATCATTTTGTTTCGACTGTTCAGAACTGAAACTGCATTGCCCGCTTTGCACCCCCCTCGCAACGGGGATGGTAGCAGATTGGTATAAAAACTTATATAACGTTCAAATAATATAAATAATCCTCAAATACTTATATTCTTAAATTTGTCATTTTTATCAAGATCGGTCGACTGTACAATACTATAGTTTTGCAACTTAGGGGGCTATGTAAACATACATTCAACATTTATCTGCGTTGCCATTCAATGGAATGGCTCGTTATATCCAAACTAAACGCCAAAAGGTACATAACAGACAGAAGCAGGTGTCGCAGACTCTATATAAAATTATTTATTCTTACTAAACATATAAGAGCAGCATGATGGGACAACTCGATATAGACATATGTATATGTTCGTATGAACATCAAGAACTTGTGTGGCCTATCTTATTACCTTTTTATATAGCCATTACTTTATTTAAATATACTATGTCTCCCATATGATCGTAGAGGAAATCACTCTGAGTAGTATAACTATTTTATAAAGTTATCTTGAGCTAAGTGCTAAGTTTCGTAGATATTACACAGCTGCCATACTTGTAGGAATGATTATTTAAGTTGAAAGTCGAAGAGATGGGAAAGCAATAAATAATAAAATAATAGCGGGGAGAATTATTCAAATTATTTCAATTAATTGTCCATGTAATAGAAATCTAGTATTCAAGAGTATTCAAGAGTCGAAATGAAAACAAAAATTAATGACACGAAAGATTACTTTTTTCTTATACATATTACAACTAGTAGTTACAACTGTGCTGTCGAATAGCATCTAAATTCCAAAGCAAATGCAATGTAAATAGTCACTATTTTGCATAAATACTATATATACTTGTATATAAAATAAACTTATATTTAATAACTGCTATAAACCAGTGAGCAATATTTTTTCGTTGCGCATTTCATGTGCAAACTTTTTTTTTTAAGTTGCGCACAAATTGTTAAATCAACAGCTGCGACTGCATTCGGGGGAGTTTTCAATGAACACCCAACAAACTATATTTATGTTTTTATTATACACACAGTGGCTTCAAAGTTATATAAATAATGCAATTATAAGCAGCGCGCTTAAACATATACACTTTTTTTTGACACCCATTCATAAATTAGCACACATTGTTAATTATGAAAAAAATTTGTCAAAACATAAACAAAATGTTGCAAACTTTGCAGTTCGGAAATGTCTAAAACAAGCAATAAAATTCACATAATATTATTATTAAATGTAAAATGTGCAGCTGCAGAGCAGAGATTTAATACTCACAGAATTCGCAATTGATTGCCCTTGGCAAAGAAATGTGCCGGCAGCCGAGACAATTTATTGTCATCCAAATAGCTGGGAAAAATATAAAAAGGAAAGAATTAAAGTCACACATTACACTCCAAGGACCACACGGTCGTGGTTAATTTAAAGAACAGAGCAAAAAAAATCAAATAAATTTAAGTGCACATAAATAATCAACTTAATTGTGAATTATGTTGCCACACTTCAACGCTACTTACAGAGTTTTCAGCGGCATGGCGGCCAAACGATCGAAGGAGTGCGAGGCGATTTCTCTGATTGAGCAAAATTTCAGCACGCTGTGGAAAGATAAATAATAAGTACAGGAACAACAAAAATAACACTCATAATGGGAACAACAACAATGACAACAAATAACAAATGACACAAACGGAATGCATTTGAAGAAGTTGCTTAGTACGAGTAGATGAAGGAATCTGATATGGAAAGTGCTTAAAATTGGAGCCATGTTGGCACGTAAGGATACAACATTTGGTTCCTAATTTCATGCACGTAACAATCCCATCAATATTATAAAGGACCCAGCAACATTTTTTGTTTAATGTGATAACCAAACGGCGCTCACTTGTCACGCCGCTTAAAAAACAATAGGAGCGAGAATTTCATTTTAGTGCTGCGACAAAGCAGAGCAGTGAGGCTAACAAATTTATCCCGATTTCCACAAAAAATAGTTTCGAATAACATTTGTATTAAATTGCTTTCTGCACAATTTTTTTTAGAAGCGACTTCTCATTACTTCAAATGAAGTTGTGTGCGAAGGAATATCAGTCGCGTTTTCATTTCCCGAACCTTAAAACTTTGGCGTTTTACTTTTCAAAAACAAAAACTTGATGCTTCCAAATCAAACTCACAAGTTTCTAGATGAGCTTTAAAAAATATATAATATCCAACTATTTTTGAAACCTTTTTTTTCATGTGTATGTTGCCTTAAAAATATGAATACACTTCAATATAAATTGTATATATTGTAGATAGAGCGTGAAGAAAAAGGTATTTGGTTTATAGGAAACAAAAAATATCGCCGTTTTGAAAATTGTGGCTCAAGGCTCAGCAAATATTTGAGAGTGTTTTGCAAATAATTTTCTTTCCTTTTTATACTCTGTACATGAAATGTACAAGAGTATATTAGGTTTGCGGGAGCTGAAAAATGTAACAGGCAGAAGGAGGCGTGGCAGACCCCACAAAGTATATATATTATTGATCAGCGTGACAAGACGAGTCGATCTAGCCCTGTCTGTCTGTCTGTCCGTCTGTCCGTCTGTCCGTCCGTATGAACACCTGGATCTCAGAGACTATAAGAGATAGAGACACCAAATTTTGCACGAAGATGCGTTATGTGTATATTCTATACGAGTTTGTTTTATTTTTTTGATTTTCCCCCCCACTTCCCCCCTATGGGGGTTTTCCCGATTTTCCATTCGTATAATCGCCTATATCTCGGAGACTATAAAACCTAGGCACACCAAATTGTAGTCCAAGATGCCTTGTGTGAATACGCAGAAAATGTATATTTTGGAATTTCCCTCCCTCCCCCCTCTCCCCCGCAAATGCGATTTTCTCTAACTCCCGTAATTCTTGGAATTTCGAACTAAAATTTTGGAAATACCCCCAGTTAGTTATTATGTGTCCGTATGCCAAGTTTCATTATGATAGACCGATTTACCAAGAAGTTATAGCTATAAATATATTTGCTGCTGCAGCGCTGCTGCAGCGCTGCTCAAGCGCTGCCCGCGGCTGTTGTTGATGTTGCTGTTTGGTTGACTGCGAAAATGCTTACACAGACACGAATTGATGCGCATAGGCATACATACACTCACACAGACGCAATTGCTATGTAAATGTGCAATTATACACCCTTTACGTGAGTTCGAATACCGAGAGAGGTAAAATCGATCAAATTTTTTTTTTATTTTCTTATTTTTTTTTATTTTCTATAATTATTGTAAACATATGTACAGAGTATTTCAAAGTCGGGACACCCGACTTTAGCTTTTTTACTTGTTTTATTATTTAAATGAGTGCAAGGTCGTTATAATCCGAATTCGAAGCACTCTCGGACTCGGCCACTTTCTGTGATTTCTACTGCATATTTGGCCGTTCACGATCCTTCACGTACAGTTCTACTCGTATTAGTTGGAAACAGGCGAAGGCGTTTCGTTTGGGATTGAAAACGTCTCCCTCGCTCTGGTCTCTTTCCTTTTGTTTTTCTTTTAAGTATGCCTGCTATATCCGCAGATACTCGTGCTCGCCGTCGAATTCAATGTAAGCTCTAGTGCCTTAAAATGTCGCAACTTCTTGTTAAGCTTAACTTTTTATTTTTGTATATTTGTAGCTCTCTTGACCAGTTGCTTTGGCACCGCGCCACCACGCCAACAGGACTTTGGTCCTTGGCTTATGTTGCTCGGCAGCAGAGCTAAAGAAATTGTTTCGCTCGCGTTAGATTACACAGCAACAGCAACAACAACGACGATACAGAATATCTTGGCTCATGTGGCTCAACTTTGCTGCTTTAGCATAGCACACATAATTAGGGTGCCATAAAAAATTTGTCAATTTCAAAATGGTGACACGTAAACAAGACAAAACGTGCCTCATTACTTGGCTACTGGATGTTGTCGTTATTATTGTCGCTGCTGCTGTTGTTGCTGTTGTTGTTCTTGGCGCAAACAGCAACAAAAGGAATTGGAAATTAAGCTGTTCTTGTTCCTGAGGTTTTTAAAACGCACACACACCCACACACTCGCCCACGAATGAAATGAAAACTGTTTTCGCGTTCTGTGGGCCATGACCGCAAATAATTCGCGTTTCTACTCGTAAACATTTGTAGATCTTTATGCGTCTAGATGGGGGGATTTGGGGACATTGGACATTGATGGATATACTGCAAACTGATGACACACGCTGCTCAGGTGAACAAAATTATTGATATTCGTATTTTTTTTTCCCACGCATCAATGTATTTTTACAGCTGAGGCGAAAAAATAATTTCAAGTTTGTTTAGTTAACCCATTTACGCGTACAGTTTTAAAATTCCCCATACATATACAACTTTTAGTTGTTGATGCATAACAGACTTGAGTTGAAATGCAAATCAAAATCAACTAAATTATCTTTACGCTAAAATCTAAAATCGAATTCAATATAAATGGCTAAACAATTGCTTGAAGCGAATCGAAATTAAAGTCTGCTGAAGGCTTAATTTCCAAATACACTATACAGATCATCTGCAGCTCTCTTGTTAGTTTTGGATATCATTAGAGTTAGTTATCGAACCAAAATGACGTGCTAGAAAGGTCGCTTAAACCACATTTTAAAGAATCTAAAAAGGAGACAATCTAAATCTTGCCTAAACCTGCACCAGCAACATCAAAAAAGAAAAGAAAATACAATGCAAATATTTTCTTTATAAACAAATTTGTCATTTTACTTATTTTTCTAGAAAACTCCACTCTAAAATGGGTTAAAATACTTATAAATAGCTAGTCGCTAATATATATTAAGTCGACATTAAATACGTTCTTGAAGACAGTCAAACTGCATTCAAGTATTTTCTTAGTAATGAAATTTGTCCTCATTTTACTTATTTTTCTAGAAAATTCAACTCTGAAATAGGTACAAATACTGACTAATTGCTAGGTGCTAATAGATATTAAGTCATCTATCGACTTAAAGATAAGTTAAACTGCATTAACCAAGTGGATTTAAAGCATTGCCTATTTTATAAGGATCTATTTTTATTTATTACCATTACTTCTGTGAAAACCATAATGTTTGGGATGGGAAACTGTATAAACCACTTCTACGCGTTCATCATAGATAGACGTTAATGGGTTAAGTTCTAACTCAGCAAAAACTGCACATTCGCAGGCTTAAGATAGCAGCCGGGAGCCAAGGGCTCACCTCAATAAACCACAGAGCGGATGGATAGATAGAGTGGAGGGGTGTGGGCGTTGCGGCCAATGAAGCAACTAACCACCACGATGTCTAATATGCCACACAGGCGCCATACTCGTACAACGAGTGGTATAACCGAACATCTGTCGTTTGTTAAACCGCATTTACGGTTTAAGCCAAACCAAAATGTCCTTTAACACACTGACACATAAACTGCAAGCTGCGACGGCTGCAATGCGATTCCGGAGGGGCAGAGCAAAGAAACGAAACGGATACGGCTGTTGCACGGCCATCCTCTGATGCCATGTCCATATGTATGTATGTACGAGTATGTATTTATGTATGTATGGGTGGCCGTCTAATTTGTATGTAAGCCAGCATGGGACTGACTTGACTGGAATGTTGTGGGGCCCCCTGGTTATAGTGTCGGCCAAAGTGCTGGCCATAAAAACACAGCATGGTGCTAATATTTTTCACTGGCTGTCTTAAAATTTCAAGAGTGATATTTTGCATTTGGTCTTCCCATTGCATACCTAATATAGTACATATGTACATAGTAGTACATATATACGATGTGAAGCGTTTGGATTTTCAATTTTAATTAAGCAAAATCTGATATTTGAGACCACTTACAGACTCTCCACGTTGGGCAGCGTATTAAAAAAACTTTCATGGATTACTTCAAAACTGTTGCCTGTGAGATCGCTGTAAAAAAGAGAATATTATTACACTAAAAGATATTTTTAGTTCTCATAGACAGAAATAAATTCAAAATATTGTTCAATTTTTCTTTTGATTTCGAGATAATACGTATACTTAATATACGTATGAACTGGCTTCTCTCACAGAGGACTGGGAATATTTTTATTTTTGTAATAATTTGATCCTACATTAATTTATTTATAATTCATTCCTTATTTCTAATTATTGAATCACTTTATAATAACATATCTGACTTAAGCTGTTCACATTAAAAAAAAATAAACTCGTCCTTTCTCGGACATAGGAGAATCTGGATGCCAACTTTTGTTATTCTAGCTTTTATAGTTTCTGAGATCCTTGCGTTCATCCAGACGGACAGACGGACGGACAGACGGATGGACGGACGGACATGTCTAGATCGATTTCTCTCGTCATGCTGATTCAGAATATATATACTTTATGGGGTCGGAGATGCTTCCTTCTGCATGTTACATACTTTGCACAAACCTAATATACCCTTTTTACCCTACGGGTACAGGGTATAAAAAATATCCCTGGCTAGTTGGAATCATTATTAAATATTATTATTCTAACGATATTATCGCTGTGTTAAAAGAGTATAGTTTTGCTAGTTTTATCATATAATATAACATTTTTTATAATTCAAGGCATTCAAAAAGATGAAAAAAATGATCGAATGTGCAAGATGAAACTTAGCTGGAGCTCTCTAAAATACGATAAGATCACAGACAAACAAAACAAGAATCCTCCCCAATAACTGAAGAATGTAAATTTTCAACTGTGGTGTGGAAAAAACAGACACTTACAAAATAGTTCACTTATGTATACATATAGATATTTTTTAATAATATAATGTACCGTTATTGACTATGTACAAGTATGTATGTACTTACAGCATTGCCAGATTGTCGGCTGGCAAATGGGATGGCAGTGTTGTTAACTGATGGAAGCGGCACAAAATTTCATCTCCACGACAGGGACAGCTGAAAGTCTCATTGGTCCAAACTGCATAAAAAATATACATATGTATAATGTATGTGTGTGCGCGCGCATTACATTTAATAGTCACACTAATAATAATCGCACTTTTAATCTTTTACTTTAATGAAAACAACAGCATGCTAATTTATTTTTTATGGCACACATAACCTCAATTGGCGAGCGCAATGCGCACGCTAAAAACAAAAAAAAAATAAGAAGAAAAACAAGAGAAAGGTACGTAACACACATACACATAAACAATGTGTTTAATTACTTAAAACCGGCTTACTCACAACACTTGCCAATTGGAATTTCGTCGTGTCGCCCGAATGGCTGCTTGCGAAAAAGATGATCCCAAAATTTGGCATCCACCTCGTTATCACAGTTCCACTCGTCGGACCCATCATCGCAATCAACACTGCCATCGCAATTGGCGCGCTGCGGCACACACTGATCCGTCGAATTGCAGTGGAAGTAGCCCGTCGGGCAATTATTCCTCTCATCGGGCGGCACAATGTCGGTCTTGATGGTGACGGCGTCGCCATCGACCACGGACGACGCCTCACTTTGGTGGCTGCTCGCTGGCACCGTGCGCGGCTGGCGTTCGCCGGTGGTGAAGGCCAATGTGGCGAGCAGCAACAAAAACACACACGACAGGTGCGGAGATTTCATGTGTGCTGCAAAAGAGAGCAGGAAATGGAGTGTGATCTCTTTTCTCTACATTCCGCCATTCTACTTTCTACACGGTTTTATTTTAGTTCCCAGCACCAATTCAGCTCAACCCAACAAAAATAACTGCAGCTTCGACAAAAATATAATTAAACACTTCCATTACTTTATTTTGATTTTATAGGAATAATAGGAATCAGACGCCCACTCCAAGCCCCGAAATATTAAATTATACGTTTTAATAATAGGACCTTTAATTTCTCTAAACAAAAGCAGTAATGTAACAATTAGTAGACAACCATCTGTTAGTTCATAAAAGCTATAGAAAAGTGAAAGGATCATTATTCGTTCTTATATTTGTAAAATTTTGAAAAACATGACCAGGATATACAAAGGTTTCAACTTTGGCCGACAATAAGTGCTAATCAAATCAAGAAACATACGTACTATATATTACGTATACGTATATTTTTAAAAACAGCTAATTGATAATATTAAACAATAAGCTCTTTAATTAGAAATAGAAAAAGTAAAACATTTCGCTTCTTAATAAATCAGAGTACAGCTTGGGTTAGTTTAAGAAAACACAGATTCTTTCAAATTAAAAAAAAAAAACTTTTCTTTATCTACAAAACCAAAGTCAGGGACATTTAATTTTTTAAATTTCAGGTTAATTTTCAAAATAATTTTAAAAACATCGCGTGGCAATTTTGACTTTTTATAAAATTCAAAGAAAAATTACATTTCAGTTTAATTTCAACATAATTTTAAGAACGTAATGATATTTGTAATATTGTGACAGATAATCGATATACATAGTATTTACAAATATTTACATACACGCAACTGATATGCGAAGGTTTCCAAATCGATATTGTAGTTTATTTACGGTCAGACATGCAAATTATTTGCACACAAATTTGTGCCATCTTACAAAAAAGCAGCTTTATTTGTTTGATTTGAATACAATTTTCGTGTGAAAATTGAAAAGGTGATGTGCAAATTATTTACATGTACAAACACGAATGTATGATTGTATGTATGTCAAACATTCTGTTACTAGACTTTTGCCGAGCAGTGTAATTTGTGCTCTTTATCTTGTGAATCAAAGCGGACAGGCCATCTGCTCTTTATGAGAATATACAAAAAGCTTTAGCCATTTTAATTTTTGGTCTTTCATAAATTAAACTCACGCACACACAAACAAATACATACATACAGACATATCTATCGTTGAGAGCTAGCCGGCTGGCCGGCCGACCGACCGGCCTCCTCTTCATGGCCGCGCCACAGTCCCAGAGGTGTATTTATCATTTTTAACGATTGCATTTAATGCAATGCACACACACATACTTTTTACAATGCCCCACATTGGAATTGAAATTGCAAATATGTATGTATGTACATACATATGTAGTACGTATGTAAAATTTGTGCAATAAAAATGTTTGTAATAAAAATTATGAACAGTACATTGGGCCTTTGAACGAATGTTGAATGTGCCAGTCATTGTGCAATGGGGCGTGAAAGTGAAATCTTTTTTTTATAAAGCCCCACAAATTTCATCGTCTATATGTATAGTATGTGTAGTATGTACATATGTATGTATGTATGTGTTTGTCATCGATAAGCAATCAATGCGGCCGACAGCTGTTCGAGAACAATATCCACTTCATTCATATACATGATGTTAATAAAAAGCCAAACAAAAGGTTAACACACATACATACAGACATACATATGTACATACTATACATACTATACACATACTTACATACTCGTGTATGTGTGCACATAAACATAAATATAAATAAGGTGGGCGGAGATCAAATCAGCATAAGGCATACAGCATGAAAACAAATTAACAATCAAAAGAATAAAGGCAAACAAATAAATGGCAAGGACGAGAACGTGTAGGAGTGGGAGTGGGAGTGGGAGTAGGAGCAGGATTTCCAGCGCTCTCTTGTAGCTGGAGTGACCGCCAAAAGGCAGAAGGCGGCGCATTACAATTACTGGCCACGAATGCGGACACTCGGAAACAACGAAGACATCAATGACGACAACAATGACGGCGACTCCATAAAAGTGTAATTAAGCTCGCCTGGTCCAGGGCCAGGAGTACGACAAGATGGCCGAAGTATCAAGGAGCAAAGGACAGGGAGCAGGGGGCAGGTGCATTGGACGCATTTGACACGTGTTGCTAATGTGCTGAATGGCGCCGATGGTGGCAACACCGACTGACTGCAACTGTAAACAGCATACCCAAGGCAAGAGCTCTATTTGATTGTCCTGGCCCAGAACACTCTCTCCCACACACACACACACACACACACACACACACACACAATAGCACAACGGTACAGTCGCACAAAGAGCAATGAAGATAAAGATGTGGGCCCTGACATTTGTCAACACATTTGCGGCAAATTGAATTGTTGGACGGGAGCGAGCGTGCGCTTGGGCCTGTGATTGATGGCTCACTTTAAAGCTGCACACACACACAAAAGAACACACCTACTACTACACACACACACACCACATAGTAGGTAGGTCCCTTCAGTACGGGTAGCTAGCGATATCTGTGGTTTCCCGGTAACTACCTTCTGGCCGATAAATGGTCTTTTCTTGGCAATAATGCCAGATAAGTTTTTTTTTTGCTATCGTTTAAAAACTTGATAGTTCGGACATCCATTTCATTGTAGAGTCTGGCTTCTGAACTTATGTTGTCTCCTTCTTTAAAGTGTTTAGTACACACTACATAGTAGGTAGGTCCCTTCAGTACTGGTAGCTAGCGATATCTGTGGTTTCCCGGTAACTACCTTCTGGCCGATAAATTGGCGATAATGCCAGCATCTCATTTATGGGGAGAGAGAGAAGATTTTTTTGCCTATCGTTTAAAAACTCGATAGTTCGGACATCCATTTCATTGTAGAGTCAGGTATCTGAACTTATGTTGTCTCCTTCTTTGAAGTGTTTAATAAGTAAAACCAAACAACTACATATAAATACAGATATGACAACAAAATATGTTTATAACCAATTTCATTTCAACAGCATTTTAGTTCTGTTCGGATTCTAGGAGGCGAGTCTGCCCTTTCTTTTATTCAAGAGAAATGCATTTGCTTTTCCGATTACATACCTCCAAGTAATTTACATTTCAGCTGTTCTCGATTTCAACACCACAGATATAATTGAAAATCTACGTTTTTGTTCACCAATTATTGGCATCAACAATTTCATCCATCATTTAGCTATTTTCTCAAATGAATTGTTTATAAATAATCGCCCGTTTAAATGCAAGCGTGAAATATTTTAAATATTTGTGTGCAAATTTTTAATTTTATGTATTTATTATTTTTTTTTTTTTTGACGAACAGTACGCGGATATGCTGTTGGTGATGATTGTGTATAATTTATTTTCTTATTTATATCGCTCTCGTAATCTTACTAGCGGGAATAATCCCGCACCTCCCATTGGGTAAACAGAGCGAGGTAAATAGTGACTAACTACCTTAAGGCCTACCCTATTTAAACGGTTGAACTGTAGGGCAGTTGTAATAAAATTGAAGCCTACAAATTGGACCAAGTAGCCGTTTTAGCGTCAACAAAAGCAATTTTGTTATATTTTTTAACACATCAGCAGACAAAGAGAGTCAGCGGGCAATCCGAAAGTGTGACTGACATGCAATATATAGCAATAAACTCGTATGTATATAAACAGCTACAGTAGATACTCAGAAGTTGGCGACTCAAATAGATTTTGTGCAAATTCTAAGCATCTCTACAGTTTTCAACATTGTAGAAGGTTGGTTTACACTCTTAGCGCTAGTTTTACACTCGGCGATTTTATTTTGCTATGCTGGCATCATATTCATTGCAGGATTTTATACCCTGTACCCGTAAGGTAAAAAGATTTGTGCAAAGTATATAACATGCAGAAGGAAGCATCTCCGACCCCATAAAGTATTCTGAATCAGCATGACTAGAGAAATCGATCCAGACATGTCCGTCCGTCCGTCTGAATGAACGCAAGGATCTCAGAAACTACAAAAGCTGGAACAACCAATGTTGGTATCCAGATTCTCCTAGGTCCGAGAAGGGACGAGTTTATTTTATTTATTTGATTTTCCCTCCCCTCTTCCCGCTACAGAATTTCGCCAATACTGTCCACATTTTCACTGTCGGGCTTGCTCGACTATAGCGTTCTCTCTTGTTTCCTATACTACAAGTTAATAAACATTTCCTTATTTAGTTTATTTGTTAATTCTCAATTATTTGAAGCTTAAAACTAAAACAAATGTCCAAATATTGCCAGCACACAATCAATTTGATAAAAAATCTCTGAAAAACACACACACACACACATGACACACATCAAGCCCAGCATATACTCACTATTCGATCGAAACGGACTCGGAGTGTCTGCATACCAAGTTTGGTTTCTGTACGCTCAGGCGTTTCCGAAATCCAGGCGTTCATCCAGACAGACGGACGGACATGTCTAGATCGATTTCTCTCGTCATGCTGATGCAGAATATATATACTGATACATACTTTGCACAAACCTAATATACCCTTTTTACCCTACGGGTACAAGGTATACAAAATAATTTCTAATGAACAAACAGACTCCCTGAAGAAGACACGAAGTGTGCTGAAATGCTTTAAAGAAAATACGTTAAGGGTTCAATATTAATTACTCAAAGGGTACTAGAACGGCGTCAATAACTCGCAGATAACCTAATTGGAATAAATCAATAAAAATTGAATCTATATCTGGTTGGAAGATGATTATGTTATAAATTTGAACACAATGTACTATATAAATAAATAGCATAATAGTAACTGAAATCATCTCCGACTCGAAAGGGGAATGTTATTTGTCATCTTAGCTCTTTAATACTATCACTTTTTATTAAATGCCAAAAATAAAATCAACTTAAATGAAAAAAGTTAATAAAAATTAAAAATAAAATTATACTAAAGAATGTAACGCACGATAAGAGATGATTTATTAAAGAATCCATCAAGCTACTATTCTCCAATCCAATGACGTGTCTAA